AAGTTTTTTTTTTTTTTTTTTTTTTTTTTTTAAACCTGTGAATTGTGCTCCTCTCATGTCAGTAGAATTGAGTGGAGGGGGCCACTTCACCCCTCCCGCATGATTGTAGATTTATTTTTTATGGCCGTCTTTGTAGTTGTGTGACTCGCCGACGCTCTCGACAGTGAGGTGCCCCACACAAAATGTCCGCCAGAGCTAGCACGCAGTTTCTTAGGGTTGCAAATTGCACTTAAAAAAAAAAATAGACATTTAATTCCTATGGAAAATGTATTTCACACTTCACAAATTTCCAGTTTTGCAATCCCAGTGTTGAGCAAACTTTATGGAGCCAAAGCGCCATCTAGTGGAAGAACATTGAATAGTTTTGATTGCCGCCATACGCCGCTGGCTTCGATAGGTGAACAAAGATGATATTAAGTGTTGTGCTCAATAAACTTTGAGACCAATGTCGTGAAATAGGATCAATTTTGCCGATCAAAAACGAGAACGACTGGGCGGGCGTCTCTCGCCGTGTCCGTGGTGCTGGCGCAAATCGGGCGCCAACTCCTTACACTCTTCTCCGATGGCGGTCTCAGCTCACAGCCGGGTCGGCGTGTCCTTTTGGAATTTGCTGAGTTTGTGTTTTTTAGACATTTAATTCCTGCTCTTTTGTGCTTGTTTTGTTGAATTTGCGACTCTTGACTTCCTCCCACGGACTCGCCACCTCACTGACGGCAGGTGCCACCAGGACGTCACCGATCATCGACGTGGACTTTTGAATCCGTCATCAGCACAAAGCCTCTGAGCAAATTGACCCGTTTCAACGCTCCAGCCGGGAAGCGGGAGGGAGGAAGGCCCCATTTTGATATTTTTCTAAAAATGACGCATTCCGACTTTTTCGCCTTTGAAAGTCACCCTGGAAAAGCAATATGGATGACTGATATGAGTGACTCTGTATCTTGTTCTTCATTTGACTTCCGACCGTCTTCACGCGCGACTTCAACCGCAGGCAGCTTCCACACAATGGACACAAATACGACTGGAGTTCCGTGGGTATGGATTTTTTTTTTAAATCGTATTTATGATCAAGTAGGCAATGTAACCTCAAATAAATGGCATCCTGAGCACATGGTCCCTTCTGTTGTCGTTTTCCATTTATAACTGTCAAAAATCAGTTCAAAAGTGACCGACCGGCGTTCACCCTGGGCCATATTCTCAGCCCACTTAGAATCTGCACACACACACACTCTCACCTCGACGTCTTCTGACCGACCCTGCTGCACGTCACCCGTGAGTGTGCACCCATTAAAAAAAAGACTCGTAATTCATTGAATTCTCAAATGCATTTTGCCCTTTACGAGTGACCTTTGGCCTTGTGGAAACATCAGTGTGTAAATGTCAAAAGACTTTTTGCCCAACTTGCTCTTTGAGCCACGAAATTGTCTGAGGATGTCCACCGGTCTGCCTCTCTGTGACTCCTCCAGTCTCTGTCGCAATCTCTGGAGGCATTTTGCCTCCCCCTCTCTACCCAATGTCCCGAACTTTTTTTTGTCTGATTCGTCACGTCTCAGGTGAGCCCGTCTGGCGGAGGCAAAGCAAAACCTCGGAAGGGGGCGGAGAGGCTTATGCGCAATTAATTCCGACAGGCTGGAGGCGGCAACAACCGGAGCGGACAAACCAGCGGAGAGAGCGACCGAGCGCAGGCGAGAAAACTTGGGAGCAACGACGACAAGGTCGCATCCGTCCGGGTGAGCCGAGCGCACCTCATCCAACTTGCTCCGTGCAATCCAAAACGCCTTGGATCAAAATTCATCTCCCGTTTGACAGAAGAGTCACGAGCGTTTTGGCCGGGACGACCGTCTTGGGTTTCTGAGGCAAGTTCACCTCCCGCTAAGCCTTCCAATGTTTGTTTTGGCCCGCTAATCCACTTTGCCTTCGGCCGGGCGCGCCGGCACCGGATGCAAAGTGGATTGAAATGATAACAAAAAGCCATCGTGCTCAATTGTACATCTCTTCCTGTTTGGCTTTCACGTCCTTAAACTGGTCGATGCCCACAAAACGGGAAATGATCATCGTTCGAGACAGAAGATCAAAAAAAATCAAATATTGGTGTTCTCGTGTCATGTGACTTCAAAAGTGATGGACGAGGATAAAGTTCATTTGACGCAGTCCCGAAACATTTTTCAAGGACTATTCTAGAATGCATTTCAATAGTTTGGATTAAAACGAGGCCTTTCAAGTTTTTTTTTTTTTTTTGGAACAGGGTTCCCACTCTTCCACTTGCTTTTTATTTATGGACCTTTTAAGGACGTTTGAGGGCTAATGTAGCCATTTTTAAGGACTTTTTCTCCATTCAGCAGGGGATTCACGGTCGATTTAATGCCCGCTCAGCAATATGCGGGTTGAACAGAAAGCCGCATCGCACTGAGCTGGTGTTCAAATCATACTGGATGTAAAATTTCCATTTTTCGACCTGTATAATAGGTAGGAAAATGAAAAAAAAAAAACGAATTCATTCTCAAATAAAGTGCAGTCAGTAAATTTTTAATGTAGATCAATATCAAACTTCAATTTATTTTCGAATAAAAATAAATTTGAAGGATTTTTATTAATTTGAGAAGCTTTCCCTGACAATAAAGAGCAATTAAGAACATCATTTTTCTTTTTTTATGGATTTTTATGAACTTTAAGGACCCGTGGGAACCCTGTGTAACTGCAGTCTTTTTTTTTTTTTTTTTTGGACGGGCGTTCAAATTTTGCACATCATGTGAATTGTTTTGTGTACCGGTATTTGTTTATTGAGGTGAATATATGGAGTGGACACGTTGTGGTTAATGATCACCGGATGACACATCCAAACAAGCCAGATGACGGCAGATGGAGGCCGCCTAAAGGGATTACACCACGCAACTCTTTTAGCGCTCCGAGGCCACTCGCTCGAGTTTGGCGGACATCCAATTGTTAGCCAAGAGGAAAGGAGTCACTCGGGGTCAAGTTCATGCCAGGCTGCCGGGGGGGCGGAGGAACAAAAACCATTCAAGGCCGTACGGCTCCATCATATCATCTCCCGGGCCGAAGTGATGCCGGGAAACTGGGAGGCTGCTTGCCAGTGGGGGCGAGTGAACTTGCTTTGTGGACTCAGGTAGATTTTTTTCTCCCCCCACCCCCTGGGGCTCTTTTGACTTTTGTCAAATCAAGTCACCACCCTGAACCACAAACAGTCTCAAAGGGCTTCGCCTGGCCGCACTTGACAAATATTCATGACGCCCCGTGACTTTAACCACCAGGAGGGCAAAAACAACTCCAAACTGAGAGGCCTTGAGAAGGGGCCGCAGATGGGGAGAATCCCCCTTCTGGCATGCCGAGTACTAGTAACAATGAAAACGCGTGAGGTTTGATTATTATTTTTTACCTGGTGTCAGGTATGCTATTTTGAAGTTTCTGACACGGCAGGGTCTGTCATTT